ATTATTGTCATATAAATTATAACAGGATTAGGGGAGCAGTAAATTTATGATCACGGTAAAAGGTGCTATAGACATTCTACAAACATTGTTTTAAGGTAGGCTAGGCCATTAGCATTCACATGTTGACCCCTAAGGCATGGGATCTGAACTTTAGGGGTTTTGCGCATGTTGCGCAAGTGGTTTAATAGTTTGAAACATAGAGTGATGATGTGCCTCCAAGGAATACTGGATGTGGACCTAATTATTGTTGAGGCAAGAGCGCTGAGTGCAGATCAAATTGTTTAGGAGTTTCTTAAATGGGCTATGAACTTATCTTATTTTGCCAGAGACAGATCATGGTGCTTTTCCTGCTAAAGAATCAATAAGGGACCGAGAAATTGACATGGACACTTACTATCTTTACATCCCACCTCCGTTATTGGACACCTTGTTTCGTGGCTTCTTATTATTCAGTATGTCTTATGCCTAATGGGTAGGAGTTAACACTGATCGGGCTTAAAAGCAATGGGGGACTTTGTGAATGCCTGAGCTAACTGGGCAAATTCAGCACTTACTTATTGGAACTGACTGATGCTGCCAAGGCGGAAATGAAGATGAGCTGGCGACGAAGATGAAGAAATCTATAGATGATTCATAAAACATAGGGAAACGTTTTTTTTTTTGTTTAGTATTTGGTTAATTTTTTTTATTTTAATGGCTTTAGATTTTTTAAATGTTTTGATATTTGAAAGTGCTAACAGTGGGTGTTTCCCTGCTAGCTGCTGCTGCTTGCTTTTTTAAGTACCTTGATTTTGGCCCTTTTTTAAACATGTTGATAGATATTCTTTTCTCGTGTTTCTCCTTGGATATCCTTTATATTTTTAAAGAATTAGAATTTATTATAAATAAGGTTATAAATGCTTGGATCTAACAATTAATTTTGATTAATAAAAATTGAGATTTTTCTCAATATTATTCTCCTTGAAAAGGAGTATTTCTTATTCGTATTTTGTTTCGTAGGTTCAATTTATTATTTGTTTCTTTTCCGCTATGTTTTCCCGTAAATCACATACACTTGTAAGGAAAATAAGATTTTGAAAACTGAAATCGAGAGGAAAATAACGGGATTTAAATCACCTGTGGAGAGAGGCTACAACACGAGCTGAGTTAAGTCGAGCTTTATCTGACGTTAGAGTTCTGACTCGTTTATCTTTATCAAGTTTCGTTAACCAAAAACTGTCCACTAACTTTCTCAAAATGTATCGGATTGATGCAGATAAGGTGGGTTAGCGTGACTTTTTTTGCACATTCTTATAGCTTCACTTATCCCTCGTGGAATATAATTAATATTTATTAATTTCTAAATTATTTTTTTCCCTTTATAATTTCCAAACAAATTGTTTTTTAATGTTATTTATTTTAAAAATTAAATTTTTAAACCCGTGCATATCTCGTCTATTGTAGTTATGTAAGGAAAGAGTAATACTATAATGCACCAATTTGTACATTAACTAGTGTACAATTGATTATGTTACATAAATTTAAGATATTTTTAATATTTGTATTTTGTATAATGACTAGATGTACCAATTGATTGTATACATGATGTTGTTTTGGATTGGCTTTGTTTATCTCAGTGAAGATTTTGTGGTGGCTAAGGGTTGGTGATGAGGGTTTGACTGCTCTCAAGTATTGATGTTCATAAGTTTTGAGTTCTTATTGAGTTCAATAGTCTGAGTTTTCTTGCGTTCTGTGGTGCGGATTTTTCGGCTGAGTTCATAGTCTGAGTTTGGCTGATTATTAGTTCTGAGTTCTGGTGTGCTAAGTTTCTGATATCAGAAGTTCTTCCACAGTCTGAGTTTTTGTCTTTGTTCTGATATGTTGCTGATATGTTGTGCTGGAAGTGAATTCTGGCAGTTTTGCGTATCAAATTTGGTGCTATTTGGGTTGGTTTGCTTCGAGTTTTTGCTCAGTTTTGGTGCTGACATGTGTGCATCCTGCAGGAAATGTGTCGCAACCAGGGTGAAGTCTGGGTTTTCAACGTCATGGTCTGAATTCTGCACCAACCTGGGTTTCCAGCCATGGTCTGAATTCTGCGGCTGCCCTTGGTCCTGAAATTCCCTCACCAACTTGTTCTCATGGTTTGCTGATCTGTTAACGCTTTTCTAGTTCTTAGTTTGGTTTGTTGGTTTCTCACCCAACACGGAAGCTTGGAGCTTCAAATTAGCTCCAAGCTCCTCTTTATTGATATTCTGTATCTTACTTGCATGCTTTCCATCAATAAAGATTTTCTTTGCCGATAAAAAAAAAATAATACTGAGTGGGGTCAATAATAATATCATAACTATCGTTTTGATACACTAGTTAGTAACCACAAATTGGTGGCATAGTAGCACCTAGAAGTTTCTAAATTCACAAGTCTTGTGGGAGCTCCAATACTCAATCTTAATTTCCTATTTTTTAATTTTAAAAAAAAAATCTCAGCACTTATTGATTTCTCCCAAGCTTTTTTTGACTCCTACTATACACAATTATTTCAACTTCTCGCATAAATATTTAATTATTTTTGAAAATAAATATTATCCCCCTTTTCAACCTTCTTCCATACTATTTAAATTATTTTAGAAACTAATAATCTATCCATTAATTTATCGGATTTCAAATGGAAAGATAAATATATCATAATCTCTCCATTCTAATTCTCTCATCAATTTCGCAAAAGAAAATACTTAAAACTGCATTCCTTTTCTCTTCCTCAAAAAATCAGATAATATTTTTTTCATGAGAATTGTGATATTTCATTTATAATCTATATCTATTTATAAACATGATGATACGTCCATAGTCGTGTGGCATGGGTCAGGCTGGCCCAGGTTTTTCAGGTTCCCGGCTTCTGCGGCTGGTGATTCCGTCAAATGACCTGCAAGCAAGTCCAAAGGGGAACGGGGCAGTCCCAGTGGACACGCTCCGACAGAGAGATTAGTGAGAAAAACAGGACAACTGTAGGGAGAAGATGGAGAGATAAAAAGCTTTAACCTTTTCTTGTACTTCTTCTTGTGCTGCTTATCTCCTTTGGTAATCATTCACTGTCCCTTTGTGACGTGGCCCCCCTTTGCCGAAGCGTCTGTGCCGTACTGCTTACTTGTTCGGGTGAGGGGGCTCCTGCTCCGACGGGGATGGTGTTGTCGTAAATAATGCTGTAATGGGCTGCATTACTCGGTGATGTGTTGTGGCAATACTCTGCAGATCTTTGTACTTGCTGCAATGTGGCCTGTGTCATCATCTGTCCATGTGTCCGAGATCCTGGCCCTCATCCAGGTGTCCTCCAGCTAGTCCTGGGCACTTCTGCCAACCAAAGTTTATGTCATGGGTCCAAGGATGGGTTCGAGGGTCGGTTTTGCGTGGGCTGTATGCCATCGTGGGCCTGTCCATGTCAGTAGTCCATTTCCCCGAGTGCAGCTTTAGTCCAAGCGGGACGGGGAGCAGGAAATGTAATAAGGGAAGCAGAAGTTCGAAACCGAGTGTGAGAAGGTCTACGGAAGCCGTGCCGATCGCAGGGTGATTGAATCCGGGCCAGAAGCTGATCGTGAGGTGGCACGAGCGGGAGCTCGGCGGACGAGGCGTGCCGCCCGAGGCGTGGCCGAGTGAAGAAGGGGTCGCGTGGAGGCTGCCCGACGGGGTGGAGGAAGTCGAGGGCGTCGCCCGGGGGGCTCGAAGGGTACAGAGGAGGCGGGGTGGAGGGAGGTCGGCCCGTGGGGCTTCACAGCGGGGATGAGTGAGTGGTGGGCCATTGATATTGAATGGAAAGAGACAGGGAAGGGGGGGGACACAGTGCATCGTGGCATACACGTGGTATATATCGTGGGGGAAGTGGAAGGTTGGGCAGAAATGAAACGATAGGTATCGAGTGGGGTTTTGAAAAGGCGGCTTTGGCGGTTGATCTTGCAAGTTGTTTGAAACGGGCGCAATTAATGTGGATTCATGGAAACGTGGTAAACCTCGTGACCTATCGTTTCATTTCTGCTCCAACGCTTCACTTCCCCCACGATATTGCCACGTGTATGGCCACGATGCACTGTTCCCTCCCCTTACCCTGTCCTTTCCATTTCACATCATCACATGGCACCACCCCACCCCCCCTCTCTTCTTGAGCCCCGCGCCGTCCCGGTCGGCACGGCTAACGGTCGACCCCTCCCGCTCAGCCACCCTCGCGGTCGGCATGCCTCACGGTCGACCCCTCTCACTCGGCCACCCTCGCGGTCGGCACGCCTCTCGGCCGACGCCTCCCGCTCGGCCACCCTCACAGTCAGCTTCTCCCGATTCAATCACCCTGGCGATCGGTACGGCTTCCCGTAGACCTCTCCACTCGGTTCGAACTTCTCTTCCTTATTACTATTCCCTTCGTTGGACTAAAGCTGCACTCGGAAAATGGGGGACTACTGACATGGACAGGCCCACGAGGCATACAGCCCACGGCAAACCACCCCGAACCCATCGCTTTGGACCCATAGCATAACTTGGTTGGCAAAGCCCAGGACAGCTGGAGGCCACCTGGATGTGGAGGGCCAAGGGCATTCGGACACATGACAGATGAGACACAGGCCACATCAGCAGACAAAGATCTGCAGAGTTATTGCCACAACACATCACCATTAATGCAGCCCATCACAACATTTATTACGACAACACCTCCCTGTCGGAACAGAGTCCCCTCACCCTGAACAAGGTAAGCTACGGCACAGGCTTTCGGCGGAAAGGGGGCACGTTACAAGGGACAGTGAAATGATTACCAAAGGATATAAGCAACAAGAGAAGCACAAGAAAAAGGTTAAGCTTTTTATCTCTCCATCTTCTTCCCTACATTGTCCTGTTTTTCTCTACTAATTCTCTCGCCGGAGGGTTCACTGGGGGACTGCCCCGTTCCCCTTTGGACTTGCTTGCAGGTCGTTTGACGGAATCACCACCCGAAGCCAGAACCTGAAGAACCTAGGCCAGCCTGACCCATCCACCCGGGACGGACTGTATCATCAAACATCAACTGTTTTTAAATTTTTAAAAATTATTTTAACTCCCAAACAAGAAAATCATATGCAAAAAGTGAGTGATTTTATTTTTATTTTTATATAAATAAATTATCTTAACCTTGAATTATGTCTTAATAGTGACAAATCATGATAATAGGCCATTGTCGTAGATGTTAATAATAATTAATTCACAAAATTTCATAATAAATCTCAACTTTTAATTATATAAACTCAGAAAAGTTATCATAATTTATTTAAACTTTTAAATCAGTGGTTTATATTATTATTGTGGGACCAAATTATAAATAAATCTCAACTTTTAATTATAATTTCTACATAGTTTTTAAAATTTTTTAATCTAAGTTTGTTACCTTACTCATAAAAAGAACTTCTCAAGCTAATCATTAATTGATCATGTTAGTAACTCTTTATCTTTGATTTTCTGTATTAATGACACATGCATATCATATCAAAGTATAAATCCTTATCCATAATTATTTTCTTCATAGCTTAAATAACACTTTCATAGTTCCATATTTAAAAAAATAGATCAAGATAAGAATTTTGTAGGATTATAAAAATTATATAAGAAAATAGTTTTAATCTATTTTATTTATAAAAAAATGATGACAAATTATTTGAATTATACTTGAAGAAATATAACAAATGATAGCTTTAATCATTATATACCCCCAAAAAAATTATATATGTTACTTAACGAAAAATGACCGAATGCAACTAAAGTCATTGATGTTGAATTAAATCTGACATGGACAGGCTCACGAGGCATACAACCCACGGCAAACCGCCCCGAACCCATCACCTCGGACCCGTAGCATAACTTAATTGGCAAAGCCCAGGACAGCTGGAGTCCACCTGGACTGTATCACCCAAGGGCATTCGGATACATGACAGATGAGACACAGGCCACATCAGCAGACAAAGATCTGCAGAGTTATTGCCACAACACATCACCATTAATGCAGCCCATCACAACATTTATTACGACAACACCTCCCCGTCGGAATAGAGTCCCCTCACCCTGAACAAGGTAAGCTACGGCACAGGCTTTCAGCGGAAAGGGGGCACGTTACAAGGGACAGTGAAATGATTACCAAAGGATATAAGCAACAAGAGAAGCACAAGAAAAAGGTTAAGCTTTTTATCTCTCCATCTTCTTCCCTACATTGTCCTGTTTTTCTCTACTAATTCTCTCGCCGGAGGGTTCACTGGGGGACTGCCCCGTTCCCCTTTGGACTTGCTTGCAGGTCATTTGACGGAATCACCACCCGAAGCCGGAACCTGAAGAACCTGGGCCAGCCTGACCCATCCACCCGGGACGGACTGTATCATCAAACATCAACTGTTTTTAAATTTTTAAAAATTATTTTAACTCCCAAACAAGAAAATCATATGCAAAAAGTGAGTGATTTTATTTTTATTTTTATCAATTTAGTTTTTAATTTTTTAAAAAAAAACTCTACCAGGACCTTGAGGCGAAAAGGAGGGAGACAAAAGGAGACCCATTGCAGGAGCTAGAAGTGTAAAGTGTAATGCGGTGCACAATACCCTCAAAAACCGCTCTGAATCGCACATTTTTTCAACTCTGGCCGGCAGGTTGGACGGGTGGGGCTTCCAATAGTGGCGGGTCGGAGCGGGGACGGTTTGAAATTTGCCAACCCGCGTAAGCAACCGACCCGACCGCCTATCCATATTTCAAAGTCTGCTGCTATATATACAATACAAACACATGGCAGCAATCTCACACGCAATAATTCCTCAATTAAACCTAATTGACGCCCAAACATCTCATCTCATTCACACCCAAACATCATCGCCGATTCGCCGTTGCTCTCATTCACACCCAAACAACCAAACATCATCGCCGATCCCGCTGCTCTTCACTCGCCGTTGTTGGTCTCCGCTCACCGCCGCTGCTCTCCTCACCGTCGGTACGTACCTCTCTCTCTCTCGGTCTGCTCTCTCTGCTTTCTTTCGCTCTGCTCTTTTCTCTCTCTGTGCTCTCTCTCAAGTGTAACAGTGCTGTTTGGAAAAGAAGGAGACACAAAAAATATTAAACACAAAAATATTTTTAAACACAAAAGAATTAATAAAAAATATTTCAATAAAGCACTTTTAGTAAATTATTATAACATAATCATCATTCATGAATTTGTGAAATTTCCATATTATCCTATTTTTTTTGGGTACATCGGAAGTAAATCATATTACCCTCTTTCACAAGCTTGAAATTACCATTTCACTCACCTTGTTTAGAGACAAATTTTGTTGTTTTCCCTAGGAGTATTTTGGTAAATTTGTATCATGGCTTTTTTTTTTTTTTTAAACAATATCATGGCTTATTTGGTCTTCCAAAAGAAAAAATGCACAAAATAAGTTGTTTTTGTTTGTTTGTTTATTTATTTCGAAAAAGCAAAAAAAACTGTTTATTTTGTTCTTACCAAAATTATTAATGCTTTTTTTTTCTTTTTTTTTTGTCCATTTTATTTATTTTTAAATCTAAAAATAAAAATTTGTCTAATATATTATTTTCATTTTCAAAAATTGAATTTGGTTTCACAGTTTAAAAAATATATATATTCTTCAACCAAAAAAAAAAAAAAATTTAACATTTTCTACATTCTCTAGTAACAACTGACCACCACCAAATTTTAGACTAAAATAATTATATAAGATAAAATAAATTATTTTAATCAAATAAAATATTATATTATATTCAATATATAATTATTTTATTTTAAAAATCAAAAAAATTATTTCAAACAAAATTTTTTAATCTGAAATTACAATAATCAAAACACCTCCACTCTCACAACTAATAAGTGAATCCACTCTCTGCCTCCAAAAAATTTTCCGTGTAAAGATCACTTGAGAGGTCCGCACACATTTAACAATCATCAAACGTATTCTTTATTTTTATTTTCATAACATTTGTAAGTAAAAATAAAAAATAATAATTCTTTCCTATTATTTATTGATACGACAATGCTACGTAGCTCAAAATTTGTGGCTCAAAAGTGGCTCAAATGGCCAAAACGACGTCGTTTTGAGTACAGAACAACATAAAAATAGTCAAAACGACGTCGTTTTGGTCATTTGAGTCACTTTTGAGCCACAAAATTTGAGATACGAGACATTTTCCTTATTGATAAAGAGAAAACAGGAGCTTCTTCTTCTTCAGAAGCCCTAGAGAGACGATCGGTGAATCTAACGCCTGTGCAATTCCTGCTCCAGATCGGTGAGTACTGCTTTCAGGTTAGTTAATTCCCACTCTCTTCATCTCTCTCTAATTCTCTCCCAATAATGTCTCATTTTGAACTCATTGATGTTATCACTATTTCCAAAAGCCACCCGCCCACCCACACACACACACACATATATGAACATACACATGGGTTTGTGCTCGATTACACAGAGGTATGAACCCTAGATTTTAAACTGCTCAGAGCCTCAGACAGATAGTTTTTGGTTTTTGTGTTCCATAGTTTAGGAGTGTCATGTGTTTTCAGGCCAAGAGGTGAGTTTATAGTTGAAGAGTGTTATATGTTTCCAAGCCATAGTTAAAAGGGTTTCTATAATTGGCTTTGTCTACATTTTGGGAACTGATTGTTTTAAATGGTTGTTTGATAATATGTCATGCCAAGTGTTCGATGAAATGTCTGTTTAAAAAAAAAAAAATAGACCATGTTAATGTTGGGTTAAATGTAGTTTCGGTTTTCCACAGAGATGAGAAGATGCAACCCAATTAGGTGAAGATATTGATTTACATTCATACTTGCAAAGGCATTTAGTTGGGAGTGATTGGAGATTTAGAAGTGATACTAGTTAACAATTTGTGCTGATAGCAATTTGTTATGTTTAATGTTTGTTTATATGGTTATAATTAAAAACCCAATACCCATTTCTAGATTTCGCCTTTGAGGTTGAAGGTCAATATAAATTGTGCTAAACTGTTTATGAGTTTTGATCTTTGATTTGATTTGATTTTTTTTTTTTTTTTTTTTTTTTTTTTTGGGGGGTGATAAATATGTTGACCATTGAACTATGTAGACCAATAGATAAATTTTGCAACCACTGCTAGGCTAATCTTGATGCTTAAAGATAAAAATTCTTGAAAGTTGAAAATTGTAAATTTAGAATTGCATGACCATAGGGGACAATGGGACACCATTTCTAGCGCCACTTCTAAACTCATATTTCTTGATATTATTTCATGAAAAGGTAATGGAGCCTTAAGTCACAACACTCTACAACATTCTTCTTTTAGGTTCAAAGTCAGAGCTATGGGAGTTTTTATCCTACCATTTCTCTACCCATGTAATGTTATGTAGGACTTGAAATTTTGTTTCTTCATTGCTTGGGAAGACGTCACTATTGTGATGAAAATATTGATACAGTTAATTTATTATTATTCTTTTGAGAAAAACATATTTAGGCATTTTTTATTGTAAATTATCAATTTTACTCTTTGATTATTTCATAAAACTTCAATGACAAATTGTTATATTTCATACACAATGGTATTAATTTTAAACATAAACACCATTCCTATGTCCAATTCATGTTTAAAACTTTGTTTGAATTGATTGCCCATGAATACACATTGTTTTTCTCATGTGTAAGCCCCAAAACCGAGGATTTCCTTAGTTTGGTTCCCTTTGATTTGGTTATTGTTCCATGTTTGGAAAACTGACTGTGGTCTGTTTGGATTGGGTTTTGGCATCAACAAAAACCAACATGCATTAGAGTTGCATCCCTGTTGGCAGTTCATGGAGGGTTAGAAACCAATGTAAGGACTTTGTAAATGCTTCTTATATGTTTAATGATTCCCTCCCTCTGTGTATGTGTGCATGTGCATATGTGGTTGTGTGCATGGAGACCCTCAGCCTGTATGGTTCATACATGAACTTCATTTCCCTCCCTCTATGTATGTATGCATGCATGTGCGCGATTGTGCACATGGAAACGGAGAAAGTCAGCCTGTGTAATTGATACGTGAACTTTAAGTTAAACACTGTAAGCATGCCAATTTTTTACATATTTTCAGCTTTAAAACATTTGTTCGCATCACATTTTACCTCCAATTTTTGTTTAATCAACACACTTCATGTATTATAGCTTTCTTGCATCTACATGTACATCGTCTTCTACAAATAAATCACAATCATTAAATTGAAGGGAAAATTTTGCACCGGACCTGAATGTAGGATATGAGAAGGCAAGGTGACCTACCGACCTTCCACCTAATGCCGTGGAATTTATCAACTGAGCCTCTCTTATTGTAGATTGGGAGGTGTTATCTGATTGCATAAATGTTTTCTCAAATTAGCTATTCTTCATTTGTATGGTGTCTTTACTAGGGCTGTTCAAAAATTCGTTTAAACCAGTTATCTGGAGGAACCAGACCGAATCGTATGGTTTGGTTCGGTTCTATTAAGAATTGGTTCGGTTTCGGTTTCGGTTTAAGAAATATGAGAACTGTAAAAACGGTTCGGTTAATGGATTTTATGAAAAAATCACGGTTTGAACCGAACCAAACCGAATTTTGAAAGATATATGTACAATATCAAGTTTTATTTGAGGATGATATAGATATGTAATGTTGAGTAATGCCTTAATATTATTAGTTTTTATCATGAGTTAAATGTAATTAGTTTGAGTAATTATTTTGCTAATATTAACAATTTATTCTTGTAAATAGAAATTTTTAGAACCGTGAACCAAACCGAAATCGAACCGTTATTTGGGTTTGGTTTTAGTCCGGTTTTACAAGTGTAATAGTCTGGTCTGGTTCTCAAAATTATAGAACCATTAGGATCGGTTCGGTTTTTGGATTTTCTCAGAACCAAACCAATCCGGACCGTGTACACCCCTAGTCTTTACTGGCTTCATTTTTTGATTATTGTGATTCATGAATTCACCGTTGCATGTGGGAATGTTCGCATCTTTGTTCACAATGGGCCAGGAAAGCCATTTAATTTAAAGTAGCCTCCACTGGCTGCTAACCCTGTTTTGGAAAAAAAAATTTCTCTGTGATGCTCTCTATATAATATATGGGAATAATTTCACATTAAAATTTATTCTCTACATTAATGTTATATGGATATTTTATTTGGAAAGCAGAAATGGTTATTCGTCCTCCAGTCAAACAAGAAAGAATCACCAAGTTTCTCAAACCGTACATCTTGAAGATGCACTTCACAAACAAGTTTGTGTCAGCCCAAGTCATCCACTCACCAACTGCCACAGTAGCCTCCGCTGCAAGCTCGCAAGAGAAGGCACTGAGATCAAGCATGGAATCGACTAGGGACGTCGCTGCTGCTGCAAAGATAGGGAAGATTCTCGGGGAGCGCTTGCTGGTTAATGAAATCCCTGCTGTTTCTGTTTTCTTGAAGAGAGAGCAAAAGTATCATGGTAAGGTGAAAGCTGTGATCGATTCCTTGAAGGAAGCAGGAATCAAACTTGTCTGACGGACAAATAAAACCTTTGTTGGATATTCTTGTTTAACTGTTTTTCCTTGAACAAATATTTTATCCAATGGGTTCTTGTTTTTGGCTATGTTTACTGGAGGAAAATCGATATGGATTTCAACTTGTCGATGCTTTCTGTTGTTCACGAGTTATTGGAGTGTAATTTCTTGGGTTGATTCGTCCTTGGTTGTGCAGCTATGCTCTGTCCAGAGTTTACCCAGACACAGAAATTGAAAAACATCTTTTGATGATTTTGATGTGCTCCAGATATGCATTGTCTTGGATCAGACTGATTCTTTCGCCAATGAAGGCTGATAAATGAGTGAGTTTGCTGGTGGTCCGGTGGTGTAGATTCCGAGTGTCTAAGCTAGTGGGGCTCTCTAAACTAGATTGTCAACAATGTTTCGAAATTTAGACCACTGTATAAACCGAAAAAGGGAACGGTTAAGGGTCATTACGGCTAGTTGAACCAGAATCGAACTGAGATGTTATAATTACCAAATATTAAGATACTTTTGATACCTCTATTTAAATTATTTTTATACTCATTGTTAGTAAGAAATTTATTTAGATTTGATGTTGAAAATAAATATTAAAAAAGAAAAAGAAAAAGAAAAAGAAAAGGTGAAGGTAATAAATATTATATAGTTACCAATTATTCACAAAGTGACTGGTTGGTGTGATTAATATTGAGGTGTCAACTAACAGTCAGGTCAGATGACTGGCTGGTGTGATTAATATTGAGGTGTCAACTAACAGTCAGGTCGGAAGTCAGTCTTCACACCTGCACTTGATTTTTAAGTTGTTTCGCAGCTTCAAACCTGATTTTCACCAGTTACTTAAAAATAGGCTGGTTTTCTATTTGAAATGGTTTTGATGGTTGATTGGACTAGTCGGTTTGAAATTTTGATTAGTTGATGAGCAACTGGTCGAACCATATGGTCTGGTTCAGTTATGAAAACATTGTCTGCTGAAGCGAAGTGTGGTGGTGATAGTGGTGGTGGAGGGTAGGTAGCACTAGTTTGGCAATATTACCCTTGGTTTTATTCTTGATATGGATCAAAAATGCTTTAGGGCTATGTTTTTTTATGGCAATGAAGCAATGTTGAGTCACAAAAAGTGAGCTCAGACCATGTTCATCAACTTGGGCTTGTGGGCTACACAACATGGACAATAGAGCTTGTTTGGGAAGATGTTTTGGGCTAAAATAATCATATAAGATAAAATAGGCTATTTTTAGTTAAATAAGATAAAATGTCACATCTAACTCATAATTAACTCACAAAAATCAAAAAAGTTAAAAAGTCTATCATAAACGAGACTTTTTAGCCCCAGATTAAAATACTCAAAAAGTCAACCCACATCGCACATCCCAAACGAGCTCTGGACTTTTATTTATTTATTTCTTTCTTTATGACAATATTGATTTGGGTAGAGTATTTATATATTTTCAAACAAAGCTATCTTGAATTTGCTGTTAATAATGATAATGTGAGAGACAAAATACTTGTGGTAAGTTGGCGTGTAATTAAATCTTAAAGCGCAGTAAATAAAGGTTAAGGATTTGAGTTGATGGAACAGGCTTTTTAAGTGGCACACTAACTTTATTAACAAATTTAACTAGTTAGAATGTAAATAAAAATTAAATAAATAAAAAAAGTAAGAAAAGTAAAAAAAGGACGATGTGGGAGCCATAAGAGAGACAAAGTGGGACCTAAAGAGCAAAAATTGAATTGTTATATTTGAAGCTCAAGCCCAACTTGGACAATGTGCTTCTTTGTGACAAATGATTTGGTTGGGGTTAGTTATTGATATTTTAATCAAGGGAATAATATTATGTTTATTGTATTTTTTTTATTATATTTCATGATGATGAATATATATCACATTTTTTTTTTACCGTTTTGTACCACTGGAGTACTTGGCAAAATATTATTGGTTTCATTAATTCCTTAAATAATTGCCTTCAAACAAGGAATATTTGGTTTCTTGAAATATTTTTGGTTTCATTAATTAATTTGCTGTGAGAGAGTGAGAGAGAGACATAGAAAATATGTAAATAAAAATAAAAAAGTGAAGCACGTGAAACGTATTTTAAGATTTTCTATATTTTGACACTTTTCTTTCCTAATGAAGATTTAATGGATTTTTTTGGGTGAATAAATATTTAATGGATTGTCTTTAGTATGATCATTTAAACAAAGAAAAATTATATCCATACAAAAATATATAAAAGAAAGTATATATATATGTTATGGGTTGAGTTTCTTTTGAACTTGAGGGCTTGTGAGTTTCACCATAAATTTTCTTTTAATAATTTGAATTGTTTAATTTGTAAGATTTTCTCTGTATATTATTCTTGAAAATAATTAGATCGATTCCATAATCATAATTTTTTTATATTTCAAAAACATACCTTTGTTCATTTTTTTTAGGCAACTATGATATAAAGGAAATGTTACAATCATTAGATCAACTTAATTTTTTTTATAAATAATATACACTGAGACCTGTACAAAATAAATTATTCGAATTATCAAAACAAAATTGATGATAGGTCTTACGAGCTTTTCAAATTCCCTTAAAATTCAAATTTAAAGAACAGTCCAACTCTGACACTGAATCACACCATTCCAATAAAATAAAATAAATATAAAAAAAAAATCATCATAATTTGGAGCTAGTAAGGCCAATAAGAAAGTTGGTAAGTGAGAAAGGGGAGCTAAGCAATAAAAAGTGAATTATTATAATTATAGTAACCTCACATCAAGAAATTGAAACCGACCCACCCATACCAAGCTCAATGAGACAATGGCCTTGTGGGCTTTGTTTAGGACAGTCAAAGGACCAACGAGTGCAAAGCCTTTTGCTCGATTGGGGCATGGCTAGTCTTAGACTACCATCAATACACTAAAGCTAGCAAACTCAAAGTAGTACATTTTTCCCAAGAATGAAGTACACTTTTACCTCATGAAAATATTAATAGATTTAACTTTTGGCTCTTAATTTTATCTCAAAGTAATCAAATTATTTTCGATTTACCCCCAATAATCAACCATCGTCCAAAATTGTGGAGTGAAATTGCAGAAAAAAATTCATTGCAACATTGATACCGCATTATTATTGATACGGTATCGTTTGAGAACATGCTTTTTTAGTAATTTTTAAATTTTTTGGCTAAAATAGGATATAAAAAAACTAATATATTTGAGATGACTTTTTGATTTTTTCGAAAAGATGTGCAAAAAATAAAAAGAAAAATGAATCTTTAACTTTTTAATATAAATTGTTAATTTTTTTGATTTTTTTAATGACTTTTTAATTTTTTGAATGACTTTTTAATTTTTTGACTAAAACAATCACTTGCCAAATAGTATCACTATCCAATCATCAATTGTTATATAAGTATAAAATCTATCCCATTGTGTATATGTGTAAGTTAAATGAAATAGTTATGTTTACAAAGAACTTATTTTCTATTTGATATTTTTATCATTATATGATAATATCATGTGTCACAACTGATATGATATCACTATTATACTCAAGATGTACTTTGAAAATTAGTAGTAAGGTGTGCTAGGAGGGAGCGATGGAAGGCCGTAATAGTGGTATTTAGTGAAAAGTTTGTTGTAATTTGAGAAGCTACTCAATATTTTTGTAGTATATTTATGTGGTATTTTAGATTAATTATTCATTAAGATATTGCTTGATAGTAATTATTCAGTAGTTTCCGAGTAATCATGTGGCATTACTTATATAGTATTGCAAACCAATTATGTAGCAAAAAAATTTATGGTGCTGTTTGGGAAGTTTGTTTTTTGGTTTTTTTTTTCACTAAAAGACAAATTGGTTACAAAATCAAAAAAAAAAAAAAAATTCAAACAAAATATCACATCAAATCTCATAATCATTTTACTTTTTTTCTCACAAACATTACATCCAACCACAAAAAAAACCTAACTATTTTTTTAAATACAAAAAATAATTTCTCCAATAATATCATACAACTAAAAAAACTTACAAAAAAATTCCATTTCTCAAACACCCACTATATGTGATGCATGCTAACTTACTTTTATTTAGTAGTTACGAGATAATACATTATACTTGTACAAGATGCCACATAATTTTGTATGTATATATAATTTTATTTATATTGGTATGTCTTAATTTAATTATTTTATTACAATAAACTTGATTTCATTACGCTATTCACGGTAATTTGTTTCTACAAAACAATGTTTTATTCTTTATTTACTTATCAACTCAAATTAATGAGTGTTTTGGGAAGCTAACTAAAAGTTAATTTTTAGTTTTTAATTCATTTTGAATTATATCAATTCTCATATTTTTTATATACAAAAAGATAAAAAAGTTTCGTTTGGAATGTGAGTTGCCTTTTTGACTATTTTAACTTGGGGCTAAAAAGTCTCGTTTGAGATGGGCTAAAAAGTCTCATTGACTTTTTAATTTTTTTAACTTTTGTGAGAGAAAAAAGAAATAATTATAGTTTAGATGTAATACTTTATCTTATTAGACTAAAAAATTTATTTTATCTTTTTATGACTATTTTAACAAAAAAATCTCATTTTGACTCATGCCAAACAAAAACTAAACAACTTTCCAAATCACCCCCAACCGACCCATACGGGACCCTAACGGACAAACTTTTTTTTTCCCATCATATAAAGTAATTATCTAGTCTTTCAAGAGTTACAAAATAATAGAGTGCTCATCCAATCACAAAAAAATATTACCTACATGTAAGGGTGTTTGCAGTTCGGTTGTGGTCGAGAAATCTCTAATCTGTCATCCGTCCACTGAATTGACGAATTGAAAAAAATCAATCCGCATCCATCTACCGGATTAATAGATACAGATTGAGCGGATTGGCAGATTGACGAATTAACAAATAAATGCGAATCGGATTGATTGTTTAAATTTTTACAAATTTTGAACATAATACAACAACTTATCAACATTTTTTTTTGGATAACAATCCAACTCAACTTAACCAAAAGATTATTAAGCAAATTGTCAAATACCAATAATAAATACATATAAGAAAACTATGCATTATCAAAATTGTTTCATTACTTTTTTTATATTCAAAAACTATTTAATTTGATTTTTTTTTTAAATGAAAAAATTAAGCCTTATATTTTACACACAAAAATACCAAATATTAATAGGGCTGAGTAAGGAATCCGTAAAATTCATAATCCGATTCAGTACAGTCTAATCCGGTAGGTTTGGATTGGTTTTTTTAATCAATGGTTCGGTTCCGGATTGAAAAATTAAAATCCGCAATCTACGGATCGGTTTCGGATTGAATCCCATAGTTCCGGATTGTAACCAATTCGGACAGTATACAGATATCCTATATTTATATTATATACCGTCATGCATAGTATCTTCTCTTATTCCATATAAAATCTCTTCGCATAGTATCTTCTTTTATTATTCTTGTTTGTTGGTTTTTAGTTTTAATTTATAATGGTTTAAATACTTATGGTGAAACTAATTTTCTTATGATTGTTTAAATTCTAGAATAGTATATCGCTATTGTGGAACTAATATGATATTATGTTTATATTTTTATGAAATTAAAATGTTCTATATATATTTTTTTGTTATTTAATTATGTGAATCCATGATCCTAAACCGACCTAATCCGTGTTTAAATGGATTGGTTTGGATTGGTTCCACAATTTAAACGGATTAGATTGGTTTCAATTTTTCAAGAACCGTAGATAACGGATTGATTTTGATTTTACTCTAATCCGGACCAATCTAGACCATGTTCACCCCTAAATATTAACACTTGTCATTTGATAAAATAATTTTCAAATTAAAATCAAATTGAAAACACAACAGAATATTCAAACTCTTTTTCAATTGAAAATATAAACAGAATATCTAAACAAATTAAAAATACAAAATCTTACAAATTACTAGGAGTGTTTGCTGTTTAGCGGTTCGGTTGCAACCAATGAAACTTTAAATTCGACATCCGTCTAAAATTAGGCGGATTGAAAAAAAATTAATCCGTAACCGTCCATTCGCCATCACGCATTAGTCCAAAATGTAACGGATCGGTTCAGTTCGATCAGTTTTAACAGATCAAAATATCTACTGCTCACCCCTACTTACATAATTCCAAAAAAATATAAATTATAAAAAAATGACAAAATACAATTGATTGGACACACTGACACGTGATCTTCTACTCAAACAAAATTATTTAAGGAACTTACACCTCAGTAGAAGTTTTACAAAATATTTATAGATTAGTTGAAAAATTTATAAATTTAATTATTAATATTTATATATTTTACACTGATTTAAAAATATTTTTGAATAGATAGATTAAGGATTTATTTGACATGTACTCAAATAATATCATTGAGATTACAATCATTTTATTAAAATTTTATCACTTCTCTACAATATCATTTCAATTTCAATCTATATTATATATTTTTTTTATAAAAAATTAAAAAATATACTAAACTAACATTTTTCAAATTACCCTAAATTATAATATTCCCAAATAATTCTGCATTGTATGAGTTCAGTAAAATTCGGTAAAATATGGGGTGCTCTTGTTTGGATAAAGTTGTGGGACAAATAGAACTTTGATAGTGATCCGTCACGTGACCTATCCTGCTCACCCAAAAAATTATTAATTGATGCAAGACACCACGTAAATATTTTTCAATTACATAATACAAATCATCTAACTTCACTCATTTTATCAATTACTATAGCCTATTTTGGCAACTAATTAAAATTTTTTTGACTTTTAATTTTTTTTTATATATTACATTACTTTTCTATTTTTTTAAACAACTTTGCTATAGACCCTGGGATCGACCCCCAGTGAGGTGGCAGCGTGCCATTCGTCCAAATTACAAAAAAAAAAAAAAAAAAATTTTTTTTTTTTGACCAATGGAAAGCCTCCATTCATGACCCCAGTGACCCCACTGGAGACTGGGGGTCTGAGACATTTTTCTTTTTTAAATATATTTTTACAAAAAAATAAAAAAGACCAAAAAAAAAAAAGACAAAATTTTTTATTTTTAACAAATTTCTCAAAATAATCGAATATATGTGGACACCAAGGATCCTCTAGAGTGAAATTTTTCTAAAGTTTCCTAGAGTGCACATTGTGTGGTTGAGACTTATTGGCAAGTCACATTAGAAAAATTGATGTGACTTGCCAATAAATCTCAACCACACAATGTAGCACTCTAGGAAACTTTAGGAAAAAATCACTCTAGAGGATCCTTACTCATATGTGGAACGCCGCATCAACCAATAACTTCTCCTCCACCCGTCTTAAATTGCCACGTGTTATCTCAATACACTTGCATCTTTCCGATCTTATCTTTACTTTGCGTGGTTCTGGATCCATTCGACCACGTCACCTCAGATCCACCAGATCAAATCCAACGGCCGTAAATCCTCCCGACTACTAAAACTCGTTCGACCTTTAACATCCCCTTCGTCGTTAAATATCTCTCTCCTCTCGTCGATTAACACTCCACTTTTACCCTCTGTCGGCTAACGTACGCCATGAGCTTACTCGACCAGCTCTGGGACGACACCGTCGCCGGGCCTCGGCCGGAAAGCGGCCTCGGAAGGCTCCGTAAACAGCCTTCGTTCACTTTCCGGCCTGTCTTCGGCAAGGGTACGCCCCTCGACTACATTACGCCGGTTGCACAACAAACGCAATAAATTATAATTTTTTTGAGTAATGTTAGAGATTCAAATATTTTATCAAATATCTTATATGATATAAGATTTATATGAGACATACTGTTTCATATTTACGTGAAGTATTCGATAGAATATTTGATAAAATATTTTGAATTCTTAATATTTTGTTAAATTTTTTTTACCATAACAAATAGTGGGTCAGTAGTTGGATTATACTGTGAACTAACTTCTATTTATAAAGTCGAACTTAAAAACTCATCCCTTAAACAATTGTCCGAGTCACTCAATTAGAACTTGCGAATTATTAAAACTGATAAAATAGTGTGTGAATTGAATTTGGATCAAAACAAACGGCTGTGATCTGTATGAAATATTGTAATTGTGAAGTGACGACGGATTGTTAACTTCCTAACCGTTTGATTTTAATTTTTTTTAAAGCAGAATCGGACGGTGGAAGTACGGAGGAGGTGATGAAGGTTACGAGGCGAATCATGATTGTGAAACCTCCTCCGGTTCAGGGGACTAATCAGAACGGCTCGCCTCCGGTTTCGCCGGCCGGGTCTACACCTCCGGTATCTCCTTTCGCGGGTAAGGTTTTTTTTTTTACGCCGGGAAGTTTGTTCAAATGGCCCTCCAAGAAAATTGGATCCAAACCAATTCTGGGTACACTAGGGAGGGTACTTTGGTCATTTGATATGGTTGTCAATTTATCGGTGGATAATGAAATGTTAGGTTTGGTGGATACGCAATTATTTTTGCAGAGAGTAACAAATTCTATTGTTTTAACATAATTATTTTGATTAATATATTAATGCCGTAAAAATATAAGAAAAAATTCTATTTTTTTAGTATAAATGATTTGATAATTTTTAAATTTTTTTTTTTATATAGCTACTGTATTATTGATTAAAATGAAATTAAGTGTCATATAAATTTAATATAATTATGTTAAAATTGTAGAATTTATATATATATATATATATATATTTTTCAAATCTAAGAGTCCAGTATAATTTAGGGTCCATTTGGGAAGAGATTTTTTAGGCTTTTTTTTTTTTTTTGTTGACTATTTTAGTTATAAAAGACAAAATAGACTATTTTAGTCAAAAAAATAAAATATCACATCTAATCTATAATCATTACACTCTTTTCTCACAAAAAAAGTTAAAAAAGTCAAAAAGTCTTTCCAAATCAAACTTTTTAATCCAAGCTAAAATAGACAAAAAAAATCAAAAAAAATTAAAAAGTCAACCCATTTCTCAAACGGAGGCTTACTCATTATCTTTCGTTTGCTTAACTAGACATGACATGACATGACAACAAAATTATGTTTGGTAAATTACAAATTAGTGATACCTTCACAAAATAATAATATTTCGTGGGCTTGGAGTCATGTTTGGTTGAGATAATCTCCCAAATAATGATATGAGTATTCTTATGGGGATTAGATAGTTGAAAGCTATTTTACTCTCATTTATAAAAATAATAAAACAAAAGTTATAATTTATTTTGTACTTTCAATCTAAGCTACTTTCATTATGAGTAGACGGTAAGAATTTTTGTAAAAAAGTGTGTTGTAATATTAATCAAACACTAGTTATTCTATCACTCAATCATACTGATAATCTCACTTAATTTAAACATGCTGAGTTTCATGAAACTATGAATTCTCAGAAGGAGAATCACTCTATAATGGGATAGAAAAATGATACACAAACATGGAAAATGTAACTCGTCTTGTGATGGAGTGAAACTCAAATTCTGTGTGGATAAAACTCTGAATTGCACCATGCTTTTGTATTTTTTTTGTTTTATTTTGTCCCATTATTTGGTGATTCCCATTTAAAGGTGAAATTGGCATTCCCATGGAGTGGGGTGGGATTGCTAATGTTATGGTATGGGATTGGAGAAAAAAGAAGACCATCTTGCTTCTACTTCACAATAACAAAATAACCACCATATATGGATAGTTTTTACATAATGTTATAAATTTTACTCTGAATCAATTAATACTATCCATAAATAAACATAATTTATCTTACATCTTTAATTTAAAATCACCATACTAATTATATTACACAATCTTATGATGCTCATAATCTCAGTTTACCTAATCTAAATATTATAGGTGGTGTGATTGGATTTGGATTAATAATTTGATACTTCCATCAAAATCATGTTTGCATATATGTGATATGATGGGATTATTTATTTATTTATTTTTAACATGATGCAATGGGTTGACTAGAGTTAAATGAAGGGTTTTATATTGTATAATTTCTGTATAAAATTTTTGTAAAGGGAGAGGAGAGGATTAAGAACTTGAGTTGTCCCATAATGGTTTTAGGTAAAGCTGACCAACATTACCTAACACTACAGCTGTATTATATAATTTCTCAAAATATGAGTTTATCATGATTCATGTGAGATAGATAGATGATTCATTTGCCTAACTTCATTTATTTATTGTAGTCAGTTGACTTTATTTTTGCATAAGAGCGAAATAGAATTTATTACTAATTTTTTTAATATTTTTTTTATATCAAATGATTACTAACTTTGTTGGTGGATGATAATTTTGTTTATAGGAGGGAGAGAGTTTCAGAGAAATTTCGAAGGAGATCAATGTCAGATGCGTACGAGAAAACAAATAATGGGATCGGAGGACACAGGAGCCCTCGTCCGCCTTGCGACTTGTGAGATTTTGATTGAGAGACTCACTCTTTCTCTCTCATCATCGACCGGCGACAAATGTTACACTTGTCTTTGTGTTCAATGTGTGTTCTGATCCGTTCTGAAAATGTCTCTGTTTTTATGTAGTCTGTATATATTTAGTTTTGTAGAAATATCATATGTAATGTGGCTTGTGCTGGGAGGAGTTATAGTCCGCATGAGGCTGTTTAAAAAACTTGTTACCTTTCTAGTCATGTAGAGTTCGTTATGCTCTCTCTCTCTCTCTCTTCGCGTGGCATTTTGGTGTGTTTTATATTAGAATTCTAGAGTGAATGGTGTTTGCCAAAGTTAAAACAGGAAGTAAAGGTGCGCTTGTTTGGAAGGATTGGATAAGAGAGGATTATAATCTATTGAACTATTAGTTTTAGGATATATTGTCATGAAATTATGTAGTTTGGTTAGATTAAATTTGTATGGATTAGATTATTTTTAATTATCTAATGTCTATTTAAAATATTATGGAGAAGGATAAATGTTTAAATGATTATTTTATCTTTTTAATTATTTACTAAGTAATAGTAATATTAAACATATTTTTAATATTTTAATTATTTTTAGTTAGATTAAATAAAAATTTATTTTATTCTATTTTTTTCACAATTAAATAAATTTATTTTAAAAAATTAAATAAATTAAATAAAAATAAAAATATATGTTATTTTTTTAATTAAAATTTTAACTAATAATAATAATTAAATAATAAAATTTTTAATTTATTATTTTTAATTAAATTTAATTTATAATTAAATTTTCTTATTTAATATATAATTTTAAATTAACAACACTAAATGAATAATTTATAAATGTTCAAAAGATTATTTTATCATTTTCTAATTGTTTGCTAAGTAATAGTATGGAAGGTAAAATGAATATTTCATAAAATAATCTCATGGTTTCTATCCCACCTCCCCCATGGGATAAGATAGTCTCATATTTGTGGGACTAATAGTCCGGAGAACTATTAGTCCGGAGTAAAAAAAAATGAAACAAACAATGGACTATTAGTCCGGTGGAACTAATAGTCCAATCCCACTCTCTAATCTTTCAAAAACAAACACACCCTAAATAAATTTATAATAATAGGGGAAGGTGAATGTGGAAGAGAGTGGAATGTGGATGTCGACTTATATAAAATTTATAATAATAAAAATGAAAAATAAAAAAAACATGTGCCAAGAATAATGTGATAATGTTGTTATTGTAAATAAATTTATCTTTAAGCTGGTTTAGATGAGGTAATCAATGAAGTTTGTTTGATAATCACAAATAATATCATTTAAAATTTTAAGTGATTTTGAAAATGTATGCCAAAAAATAAGAAAATTTTAAATGATAATAACTGATTTAATTCTAATTTAATTTATAAATATTTATACATTAGTATCAACCTCTATTGTTATAAATTATAATCTCATAACCTCTACCATCACAGCTATCCATTATCTTTTCATGACCATCACCTTCTTTACTATTATCATTGTTATCATAAATACCATTATTATTTTATTATCATTATTACAATCATCACTATCATTGCCATCACCAATACAACAGCTACTACAAGCCTTGATATTCCCAATTATTACCACTGGTGTCATAACTAGACCATCATTCAATCTACACAATAATCGCCGTCATTCCACTACTTTTATTATACCACCACCACCCTCCTCTAATTTTCATCACCACTATATTACCTTTCCATCATTTGTACGAACAGTCTCTTTATCTGCACCACTATAATCATTGGCATTATAATTAAATCCGAACCCGATAGAGACCTGCATCGTCCCACCATGCTATTATTAGAGCAAAGTTCTCCAAAAAATTTTCCCACGGGTTATATATAATATGCTACGTATGATGAAAAAAATATCATAAAAATAATCATGAAAGATTCTCCACCGTCAGATTACACATACAAGAAAACACCATATACCAATCAAGGGATGAAAAATTTTCATGAAGCATTTCATGATATTTTTTTTCATAATCCCTAATATTATTCATATAATATCGGTTGGTAAATCCCCGATTTTTTCGGGGCTAGGTTGGTGAATACCACTGGTGAATTACCTAGCCGCTTGTCTCCGAGTCAAGGTCAAGCAAAAAAATCAAAGAAATGGTGATTGCAATCTTAAAAGATGCGAACTTGGAAGAGGCGACATAGCTCAAGGTCCGAACCATGGCCACAGAGAGGCTCAGCATTGACCTGTCCCACCTTGACCACAAGTGGCTCGTCAGGCGAGTTGTGGAGTCGTACTTGGTTTCTTTGGAGGAAGACAAAGTCGAAGAACAAACCAAAGAGGTGGTCGTACCAGAACAAAGGTCGAAACAAGGTTTTGGTTTGAAGGAGGCAAGTGATGGTGGTAAGGATCGAGTCATTTGCAAGGTGAGAGTTGAAACCCTAATTTATGCTTTCTTTGGTTGCTTAGAAATTGCGAGAAAAGAAGAGAAAGTTACACTAGTTTGTTCCTTTACATTTGCTTTTGATTTTTCTGTTGTGTGAGCAAATGAAAAGCTTAGGTACTTGCACTTTAGTTGGGTTCCTATGTTTGATTGCTGAGAAGTTGCTAGAAAAGAAGAGAAATTTTTAGTAGCCTTTAACTAGGTTTTTTTTTTAAAATTATTATTTTTAGATTATATTTGATTCGTGAATTTAAGAAGAATTTTTTTAAAAAAAAATGTCTATAAAATCTATCTAAATCTATTCTCAAATCTATAAACCAAACACAATCTTAATCAATTTGTCTCTTTCACTCACTGTTTTCAATACTTAATTTTTGCTTTTGATTTGTTTATATTATGGATACATACCTGAAGCAAAGCAAAACGGGCGGGGATGTTTTTTTTTTTTTGGGTTTTGGGGGGGGGGGAATCGATCCCCTACCCATCCTATTGCCATCGCTAACTATCGGTACATTATTATTTCTACCATCAACTCTACCCATTCCATTGCCATCGCTAACTATAGGTACATTATTACTTCTACCACCACCACCACCACCATCAATTCATTATCACAATATAAAATTTTAAAAAAAATTAAATAATAAATAATAAATTTTAAATTTATAATATCTTATATATCAAACAATTTATTTTATTTCAGGCCTTTTATTTTTATTAAACAACTTTTTTGATATAAGTTTATCAAGTATGTTATTCATATAAAAAATTAAGTTAATGAAAAATATGTAGGTCCATGATTAGATTTTAATTGTTTTTACAAAAAATTACCAGAATCATGTAAATCATTTTTTTTTAAATTTTAAATTTGCTCTTGTTATGAAGCTAGAGATGTCTAATCAATTTATTTTTTTTTTTGTATGGATGATAAACTCCATAAACTTTATCATATAAATAGTTTGAATTATCAAAAAAGGCTGGGGACAAAACTCTCACCAAGGCACCACAGCAGCCTGTAAAAACAACGACCACCAACTCAATCGGTGAAAGGGAGTTTACCCAGCCAAATTTCAAAAATGGGCTTGAAATCAAATAGCAAAAAGGACAATTCTGATAGAAAATGCTAAAATACAAGTCTTTACTTGCAAGAAATTCTTATATATATATATATATATTTATATTAGTAAAGCATGCCCGTGCAAGGCACCGGCTGATTGCACGAGATATTTGGATTTTGTTTTTAATTTGAATAAATTATAAATATATTTTTTAAGATTTGTAATATAACCTTAATGATGTAAACTTTTGGCCCTGTTTATTTTGGGATGTAATGGATGAGAGGGGATTAGGATGGAAGTTGTACGGGGAAAGAAAAATCACGTACTTGTTGATAAAGAAATCCAACGAAGAAGATGAATAGCACCACTACACAATCACTATCTGTAAGACAAAACACCCCCAGCCGTAGCCGGGGGTCCTCCGACGCCCAAGTCAGTCCTCCAATATTATCAAAATATTTAATGGAGTAATTCATATAGAGAAATTGCGTACCTCTACCCATAAGGGTGTTGCTTATTTATAATATCTACTTACCTCTCAAGTAATTTGAATGTTCCAGAAGTCCTATCCTAGATAATCTCCGGTTGTTCAGGACTTCTATATCAATAAGATTTCATATCCTGATAAGTTTTGCATAACATAAAACACTAATGCAGGATAAGAATTTGATAACTGTCATATACATGATAATTCATAACCATGCCACGTGGCAATGCCTGGACCCATATAATTTTTGTGGTTATTTTTATTCCCTCTCAATTGGCCCCAAGCTTTCATTCTCTTTGAACCCAATGAAAGAGTGGAAGCTTTCTGTTGTTATAATAAAAATAGCTGTGTAATAATGCCTAGCTAAAACCATACCTATGTGCTAGGGCTTATTCCAAAATGCATAACTTTATTAGGATTTATTTCGAAAATGCCTAGCCTTGCTGAAACTTATTCCAAGAATGTCTAATCTCGTTAGGACTTATTCCGAAAATGCCTAGCCTTGCTAGGACTTATTCCAAGAATGCCTAACCTAGTTAGGACTTTATTCCAAAAATGCCTTGTTAGGACTTATTCCAAGAATACCTAACCAAGTTAGGACTTATTCCGAAAATGTATAACCTTGTTAGGACTTATTCCAAGAATGCCTAATCTTGTTAGGAACTACCAAAACACCAACTTGCTTATTGGCAATGTCACGACCCAAACCCGCCCCTATAGGTTTAGCATCGTAACCGGCCAGTAATCCTTGAATTACCGAAGGCCTCTGAACAGATTAACAAAAATAAAGGGGCTAGCGGAAGCAAATACATAAATATAGTTGTCCAATGAGCTGTGCTGACTTATATGAAACGGAATATAAAAAAAAAACTTTATATACATAATCAAAAGCCAACCATATCTTATACCCACACACATTAAAGTATCTTAAGTATAGCCAACAGAACAACCGAGTCTTATATATATACAGAAACAATCAGAACTTAAACACTGGACACTTCGGGAACCTCCATGTGAGGCACAATGGTTGGCTGACAACAGAACACAGATCCAGACAAAAGCCTTCAGGCTCAGGCTCCAGAATGCTCACCTATACATATATATACACATAATGAGCTAAAGCCCAATGAATAACATTAAGGTAAAGGGGTTAGTGAACGAATTCCGAACATATCATAAGGGTAAAACAAATCATAGCATAATCATTCTCATATCAGAACATAATAATGGTACATCCCATAGAACACATCACAGAACGTCTTCCGACTAGAGTAATCGGTTCCGGATACCGATTAAACACATATCACCACAATGAAGTGGCTAACGAGATCTCGTAATTACT